CACACACACACACACACACACACACACACGCACACGCCCTCTGGGTTATATCAGGTCACACACACGCATATGTACACACGTACATACACGGCACTGTGCTCCTGGTAAGACGCTCCCCCTCCACCCAACTCAATGTTGACCCCAAGACTGTTAACGTACCGTTACTTTGACACACAATACAAAAACAATCGTCACACGTCCCTTAACTTATTTTCATCATTCATTTCTTTGTCATAACATGGAGTCGATATTTATGTTCAGAAGATTGCTCGACTCTCATAACTTGGCAATGGGTCACTGGCCATCATTATCAATGTTACCTCTGTTGCCATGGAGATGCTGTGCAGAGAAAATGGGTTACTCATTGGATGTAAAGGATTGAGACATGGGAGGGTGGGGGAGCTGTAGAAGGCAGAAGAGAGTAGACAAGCTTCTGGCACAGGTGGAGTGGAAGGGAATGTGTCTGGACATTGAAGTCATGATCGTGGCTTGCGGCAATGACACACACGAATGTGGACTGGTACATCCCCACTACAGAGGAATTTGTTTTTGTCAAACCAAAGACTTGAATGGCTTTAAAGGAATTTAATGAAAACCAAAATCCTCATCCAATACATATCTCATTAGGTCCACAATAATGTAAATACAGTGAATGTGCCACATCTGAGTCTTCAATGAATCACCCAACGTATTTGTGGAGCAGTCTTGCCATGCTATTAGCAGGGGTTAGGAACTCAGCCATGCCACGGATAGTACGAATCAGCAAGTAATTGATGCTCCCACAAAACAGTTTTATAATTGCCTGTAAATGTCAAAAAATGGCAGCAAAGCACTACTTATATCTGAATCAAACTACTCAACTCATTTCAACACAGTTCCTTGGCCACAAAACAAAGTAAAACATTTGTCCAAATGAAGCTACCCAATTAACTTCAACATACTTTGTTGGCACTGACATATAGTGGTAAAGGTTTGTGATTGCCCGAGGTGCCACAAAATGACGGCAAAGAACTGCCGTTCTTTTGTCGAAATGAAACTCTTCAACTCACAAGTTTCCACATGAAGGCATCATAAACTTTTATGTAAGTGGAGCTTCCTAATTCATTTTGACAAAGTTCAGTGGCACCAAAGTCTAAAGTAAAATCCTCAACTCACGTCAACGTATTTCCTTGGCAACGAGATGCGACAAGATTGTGGCAAAACACACCTTTTTCCTGAATGAAGCTCCGCCAATTCACTTCACCATAGTTCCTTGGCAGGAGTACTTTTAGTGCTTTGGCCTGAGCATAAGAAGAGTGAATAACAGATGGTAGCTTCACAAAATAAAATCAGTACATTAGCAAATGCCGAATCATAAATACGCCCGGTTTCATTGTAATAATTTAATGGTGATATTAGATATGAGATTAATATTTCTCTTTCTCTTTATGTACAAGACTTTTCTGACATGAGCTGTTTCTCCCCTCAGACACATTCAAAACATAAGTGAGATCAAAACCGACGTGGGAAAGGCCAGAGCTTGGGTTCGCCTCTCCATGGAGAAGAAATTGCTCTCCAGACACCTGAAGCAGCTGCTGTCTGATCTCGAGCTTACCAAGTGAGCAGAACAAGATCACTCTGGGTCCTCTGTCAAATGCAACCAAAATATTTTTCTTTCTCTGCCACTGAAAAATCATAGAATAACTCAACCTACTTGATGTTTGTGGGAGAATGTGATCCACTCATATATAATAAATTACCTCTCTGAAACTGCAAAACATCACACTGTAGTCTGCCGTTGCATAAATAATTCACATCCACGTTACTTCATAATAGATATGGTGGGGAGTGAAGTGAACTAGGTCAGGTGGCTTTCTGTCTGCCTTTATGACCTCATGTCACAGTTGTGCTTTCCATCCAACAACAGAGGTTTGTTTGTTTTTTTTTTTAAAGCCAATTTGCTCTAACTTTGGTAAGTCATCTGGAGTATATATGTCATATTAGAGGTTGTAATATTCTGTGAATTTTGAAAGTTGAAACTTTTCCATGGGAATTAGCAGGAATAATCTAGTAATTGACAAAGTTCAAGTTTGGCTCTTGACAGGACACGAGATGCTGTGCAGAGAAAATGGGTTACTCATTGGATTTAAAGGATTGAGACATGGGAGGGTGGGGGAGCTGTAGAAGGCAGAAGAGAGTAGACAAGCTTCTGGCACAGGTGGAGTGGAAGGGAACGTGTCTGGACATTGAAGTCATGATCGTGGCTTGCAGCAATGACACACACGAATGTGGACTGGTACATCCCCACTACAGAGGAATTTGTTTTTGTCAAACCAAAGACTTGAATGGCTTTAAAGGAATTTAATGAAAACCAAAATCCTCATCCAATACATATCTCATTAGGTCCACAATAATGTAAATACAGTGAATGTGCCACATCTGAGTCTTCAATGAATCACCCAACGTATTTGTGGAGCAGTCTTGCCATGCTATTAGCAGGGGTTAGGAACTCAGCCATGCCACGGATAGTACGAATCAGCAAGTAATTGATGCTCCCACAAAACAGTTTTATAATTGCCTGTAAATGTCAAAAAATGGCAGCAAAGCACTACTTATATCTGAATCAAACTACTCAACTCATTTCAACACAGTTCCTTGGCCACAAAACAAAGTAAAACATTTGTCCAAATGAAGCTACCCAATTAACTTCAACATACTTTGTTGGCACTGACATATTTATATCCAAATTTTATATCCAAAAGAAAGCCAATATTACTGTAGCTTACAGAGCAGTTGTGAGTATCTTTTAATTTATATAATGCATGTAAAATAACCACCTCCCACTTAAACCAAAGCGCGCATACACACATGCGCGCACACTCACCAGAAGTCGCACGTTGAATGCATGAAATCATGATGTAAACATTCTATTTCATGATATTGTTTCCTGTTTTGTTTTTAAAGCACAATACTATAGAATGCTATTTTTCTTCTTTTTTCTAAAGTGAGGCATTGTTTGGCTCAAGAGTGTTAGCTCCTATTTATTTGTTAATGTTTAAAGGTGTGATGACAGTTTTTTTGTGTGTGTAATGACAGATCTTGTAAGTCTAGGGTTACTCTGGCACAGTTGGATTTGGTTTTCTATTTTCAGGGTAAATCTGCACTGTGGTCCCACCTGCTACATTACCAGGAAAGCAAAGAAAAGAAAAGTGCAACCCCAGCTGGTTTGGGACCTCCAGGTAGAAAAACAAATTCAGACATTGACTTGGCATAAAAAGTAATAAGACTGAAAGCATAACCTGGAGATCGTTTATGTCCCAGGTTTCATTCACGACACTGAACGACGGAAATCGGATGGTGGTGGATCTGCCATGCCCCCACTTAAAGTGTCCCTGATCCAGGACATGAGGTGAGGAGAAAAGAACAATAAGGCTCATTTTTGGATCCAAGTGGAAGGAAACTGATACTGTCTCGATGTCTGTGAAGTCTCAACTTAAATACATAACACAGAAGTACCTTGATGCAGATTAACCAGCCAAGTTCCTGACATCACTCACTAAACCATGCCCCTTAATGGCACGCAAACAAGACTACAGCTGTTGTTGTTGTTAATTTCAGCTTGTCCAACGTATAGTAATTAAACTTCGTAAAACAGTCTTTTTTTGTTTTTTACATTCATTATGTTTTTTATGTAATAGTTATATTTGCCTTTATTAAATAGCTACATCAAAAACAATTCATAGTATTGTTTTTGGGGCGTGGACAGTGGGTTGGATGAGACATCTTAATAGCGTTTCAATTAATTTCAATGTTGTTAGTAAGTGTTTAAGTCACAAATGATGTCCGTATATTAAGTCATCATTAAAGTCGCCACTGTAAAGTTAAACGTAGCAGATCAGTCAACTGTTTGTTGTATCTATACGTGCTTGTGTGAATGTGTGTGCGAGTGTTCTGATACTCGTACTATGGCTGCAGAACTGTCAGCATGAGGCGTCTGCATTTGTGTTGCATCAAGAAGTGCGTGTATCAGGATATTACTTCCAGCCTAATTACCACACACACACACACACACACACACACACACACACACGCACACGCCCTCTGGGTTATATCAGGTCACACACACGCATATGTACACACGTACATACACGGCACTGTGCTCCTGGTAAGACGCTCCCCCTCCACCCAACTCAATGTTGACCCCAAGACTGTTAACGTACCGTTACTTTGACACACAATACAAAAACAATCGTCACACGTCCCTTAACTCATTTTCATCCTTCATTTCTTTGTCATAACACGGAATCGATTTTTATGTTCAGAAGATTGCTAGACTCTCATAACTTGGCAATGGGTCACTGTAATATTTGGCCATCATTATCAATGTTACCTCTGTTGCCATGGAGATGCTGTGCAGAGAAAATGGGTTACTCATTGGATTTAAAGGATTGAGACATGGGAGGGTGGGGGAGCTGTAGAAGGCAGAAGAGAGTAGACAAGCTTCTGGCACAGGTGGAGTGGAAGGGAACGTGTCTGGACATTGAAGTCATGATCGTGGCTTGCAGCAATGACACACACGAATGTGGACTGGTACATCCCCACTACAGAGGAATTTGTTTTTGTCAAACCAAAGACTTGAATGGCTTTAAAGGAATTTAATGAAAACCAAAATCCTCATCCAATACATATCTCATTAGGTCCACAATAATGTAAATACAGTGAATGTGCCACATCTGAGTCTTCAATGAATCACCCAACGTATTTGTGGAGCAGTCTTGCCATGCTATTAGCAGGGGTTAGGAACTCAGCCATGCCACGGATAGTACGAATCAGCAAGTAATTGATGCTCCCACAAAACAGTTTTATAATTGCCTGTAAATGTCAAAAAATGGCAGCAAAGCACTACTTATATCTGAATCAAACTACTCAACTCATTTCAACACAGTTCCTTGGCCACAAAACAAAGTAAAACATTTGTCCAAATGAAGCTACCCAATTAACTTCAACATACTTTGTTGGCACTGACATATAGTGGTAAAGGTTTGTGATTGCCCGAGGTGCCACAAAATGACGGCAAAGAACTGCCGTTCTTTTGTCGAAATGAAACTCTTCAACTCACAAGTTTCCACATGAAGGCATCATAAACTTTTATGTAAGTGGAGCTTCCTAATTCATTTTGACAAAGTTCAGTGGCACCAAAGTCTAAATTAAAATCCTCAACTCACGTCAACGTATTTCCTTGGCAATGAGATGCGACAAGATTGTGGCAAAACACACCTTTTTCCTGAATGAAGCTCCGCCAATTCACTTCACCATAGTTCCTTGGCAGGAGTACTTTTAGTGCTTTGGCCTGAGCATAAGAAGAGTGAATAACAGATGGTAGCTTCACAAAATAAAATCAGTACATTAGCAAATGCCGAATCATAAATACGCCTGGGTTCATTGTAATAATTTAATGGTGATATTAGATATGAGATTAATATTTGTCTTTCTCTTTATGTACAAGACTTTTCTGACATGAGCTGTTTCTCCCCTCAGACACATTCAAAACATAAGTGAGATCAAAACCGACGTGGGAAAGGCCAGAGCTTGGGTTCGCCTCTCCATGGAGAAGAAATTGCTCTCCAGACACCTGAAGCAGCTGCTGTCTGATCTCGAGCTTACCAAGTGAGCAGAACAAGATCACTCTGGGTCCTCTGTCAAATGCAACCAAAATATTTTTCTTTCTCTGCCACTGAAAAATCATAGAATAACTCAACCTACTTGATGTTTGTGGGAGAATGTGATCCACTCATATATAATAAATTACCTCTCTGAAACTGCAAAACATCACACTGTAGTCTGCCGTTGCATAAATAATTCACATCCACGTTACTTCATAATAGATATGGTGGGGAGTGAAGTGAACTAGGTCAGGTGGCTTTCTGTCTGCCTTTATGACCTCATGTCACAGTTGTGCTTTCCATCCAACAACAGAGGTTTGTTTGTTTTTTTTTTATAATAAATTACCTCTCTGAAACTGCAAAACATCAAAGTCATCTGGAGTATATATGTCATATTAGAGGTTGTAATATTCTGTGAATTTTGAAAGTTGAAACTTTTCCATGGGAATTAGCAGGAATAATCTAGTAATTGACAAAGTTCAAGTTTGGCTCTTGATAGGACACTTAAAATCTATTTTATCGTAATCCTGACTAAAACTAGATAACTAGTTTCTAAAGGGACTAAAGAAAAAGTGCCATTATTTAGAGGGGCCCCAACTTTTTGATTGTTTTGAGTCACGAGCCATCACTTGGTCCATTCAAGTTTGTGTGAACTTTCGTCGCTCAAGGAAGATGGAGAGAACTTTTTTTTTGTACCACAGACGCGTTTCATGTAAAGAATGTCTTTATTCCGACGAGCAAGCAGCACATAAAAAAACTATTTAAAAATGCAATTCACCATCATGCAAATTATACAGTAGTTTTAATTGGTGTGAGTTAGACGGGCGAGTTGAAAGTCCTCTGGAACTTGGCCGATTGTAAAACAAGATTGCAAAAACTCGCGATTAGCAATTAGTTGACTACCAGTGTTAAACGTCAGTGCGGAGTAACAGAGTCAACTAGTTGACTAATCAGTTCAATCCCATTTAATTTCCATTAATTCCAATGGAAACGTTCCAATTTTGCATATTTTACAGAATTCTTCACTTCCAATGAAAATTAGCCTTAAACTTCCTGGAAATGTAGCATAACGATTTCACCGCCTTGATGATATTGGGTACATACCTCGCTGGAAGCCTGACGTGCTCAAAATAATTGTTTTGTTTTGTCAATCCACCTTCATTTTAGAAAACTATACAAGCGATATGCTTTCCTGCGCTGCGATGATGAGAAAGAGCAGTTTCTCTACCATCTGCTGTCATTCAACGCAGTGGACTACTTCTGTTTCACCAATGTCTTCACCACCATCAGTGAGTTGACCTAATAAACTCTTTAGGTTTGGTGTTGATTCAACTTGAAATTATTGACATTTGTCTCCTTGGCCTTTCAGTGATCCCTTATCACGTGGTGGTGGTTCCCAGTAAGAAGCTGGGTGGCTCCATGTTTACAGCCAATCCTTGGGTGTGCGTCTCAGGTGAACTGGCTGAGACGGGCATCCTGCAGGTCCCCAGGAACACTCAGGAGATCACATTTGAGGTTTGTCTCGTTTCTTGAGTTTTATGTTCTGACACAAATTCTTGAAAATAAATTTGCAACACTTGAATTTTTAGATCATCCATTCGATGTCTTTTAGATGTAGGCTAAAATCAAACACAAGAGCATAAACTGTACTTGATACATAGTGTATACATATACTGTATGTAATTTCTTTGGCTCTGGCTGACTTTTTAAATACGGTATGTGGACGGTTCTATTTTTACGCCACTTGTCATAAGCAATGGGTCATTCTCAATGCACAATAATTTGACTTGAATTAAGTTGAGAGTTGCATTTTTCTGAATAAGTCAAAAATCAATTCCATATGATTTCAATCATGCTTTGAAACCTGTTTTCCGGTGTGTTGACCAGAGGTTGGTAGTAACGCGACATTTACTCCGTTATATTTACTGAAGCACCTTTATGGATGAACTGTACTTGTTAGACTTTTACTGGAGTATTAGTAGGAAGAAACAACACTTAGAGTCCATGACACTGAGCTTGCTACTTTATTTATATCTATTTATTATTGCTTGATTTCTTGCGCGATCAATTTGTTTTGGTTATTTGAGAGACTTCTGCCTCAAGTGCTGTCATTGCAGTTTGCCTTCCTTTTATGGTTTTATCCAGATTTAATTTAACTTGGTTTTAACTGGGTGATATTTGAATACTACATTGCTATTTTATATTTTGTCTGTTGATGTTCATGCTCTAAATTAAAAAAAAAAAAAAAAACAGAAGTTACTCGTTATTTACTCAGACGTTTGTTTTTTTTCCCCATTAAATTCTCCTACTCAAGTAATTATTTGGAGGGATAACCTTTACTTTTACTTGAGTCATATTATTCGAAAGTAACTGTACTCCAATTTTTGACTATTCTGTTCACCTCATGTGTTGACCCAAAGTTTAAAGAGAGCATGTCCCTTCCCTTCCAGTGCCAGAACCTGGGTAAGTTGACCACAGTGCAGATGGGTCATGATAACACGGGTCTCTACGCCAAGTGGTTGGTGGAATGCGTTATGGTCCGTAATGAGATCACAGGACACACATACAAGTAAGTGCAGCTTTTCAAAGAAAATTCACCCCAACATTGCTTTCACCAAGAGCACAAGACAAACAAGCTTGTTTGCCGGGCAGGTTTCCGTGCGGCCGGTGGCTGGGCAAAGGCGTGGATGACGGCAGCCTGGAGAGGATCCTCGTCGGGGAGCTGATGACGCCCGTCACAGAGAACGATGAAAGGATGTGTCGCACGCCGCCAATGCAGCAGTCGCCGGGGATGATGAGGAGATTTGTGACAATCTCACCAAATAGCAAGCCAAGTAAGAAACCGCTCCACACAAATTTGCCAAACTTCAATCATGTCGTCCATTTTCTTTTTTCGCATACTTAGATAGTCTGACAAGAACATGTTAGTTTTTGGGGCATTGTCTGTCTCACGAGGCAAATCTCTTAACAGGTTTGATATCTTTCCCCTCACGAGGTACAAAACTCACCGTGTGCCCGTCATTTTAGCAGTGGGAAATCAAAACGCTTTCGCCGCTCGCACGATTTTGAAGATGGCCGCCCTCAGCGAAGTTGTCAGCGGCTGCATATGAGAGGATAAATGGCTCAATATGTAGTGACATATTGCCTCGTGAAACTGAGGGCACTGTGAAAACACTTGACTGATGCAACGTCGCTGTCACCACTTATCTCTGTTTTTGAAATCATAACATGTTATGTCATATAATCTGGAAAAAAAAGCAGATCGAATGAAAGTTCCAAATGTGACTATGAATCCCGAATGACCACCAGAGCGTTCTGTGACTCGGAATCTTCATGTTCACTGAAAGATTCTGTCGGAAACGAACCTCTGGTGACACCCAGAACCCTCTACCTATCCCAAGGTCATCCTGGGGTCGAAGGTGACATTTTTTAATATGCATACTCAAACTGCGCATGCGCAAAGCGAACATTCAGTGCTTTCAGCACCGCCTCTGGCAGTCCGTAGGGATGAAATAGAACTGTTACATTTCAGCGCTCTGATAAGAAAAACTATTTTTCCCTCCATGCTATTTTACTCATCAGCCCTGCCTTCTTTCTTTTCTGGCAGAGTTAAACACAGGTCAAATCCAGGAGGGAGTGGGAGAAGCCATCAACGGCATCGTGAAGCACTTCCACAAACCGGAAAAGGAGGTGGGAGACGATAGTCTAGACAAGCCACCATCCTG